CTCAAGTACTACTAACCCTGCATTGTACTCATATGTTTTGTTCAATGTCCTCAGCTGCTCTGCGCATGGAGAAGGAATGTGACTTTCCTGACGGACCTCCCCCTGCTGCTCCACCCGTGTTAAAAGGTCGCCGGCCTTCTGTTCGATCGAATCAAAGCGGTCTTTCCAGTGAGTTTTGCCTAGCGCCATGCTTATCTGTTCCAGCGGGCCACAGTCAAAGCTTACCATTCGCCATGCAATCTAGGCTATGTCATGAGGCGTGAGTGGCAATGAGGATAGCTCCAGCTCCATTACAACTCTTTTAGTAGTACAGGCTAAAGTGATATTGGAACAAATACTATCAAAAGCAAAATGAATAATTACAATCAAAATATCATTACAAACAATACTCGGTTGCAGGGATATACTTGATATTACTATGGTATCCCAGAATCAGAACCAGCTTGCTCATGTTGGCTTGGCTTGTTGGGCATACTTTCACTTCATGTGCTGCACGCGCAGGTGGTGGGGAGATGGCCAAGGCGAAGCAAGAATTTGTTGCGTCTGTCATCGATGAAGTATCCGTCGCAAAGGGTGAAATCTTTCGCCTCCTGTATGTTGATGGTAAGTGTTATTTTCTACTGTAGACGCAACCAAACTTAATAGATCTATTATCATGGTCTTTTAAAGAAGCCAAATGTGTTAATTGAGGGAATGCCAGGCCTTTGAAAAGTATGCATTACAGCATCAAACATACCTGGTAAACATCCATCTTCAGGAAACTAACAAGACTACTACTCAATGTTAGAGTGTAGCATTGCTTTTCGCTACCCTCACATTCAATTTGCCAGACTAGCTCAGACACTCTCCTGATAGCTGTGTCATGTCACAGGACCGCGTACACCGCTTGCATGCTACAGAACAATGGTCTCATCCCGCTTATTGCATGATCTCCGCAATCTCTGCAGGTGAATGGGCATACATCTCCACGTGCGGTGCAAGGCAGGAGCAGTGTGGTTTCATCCCTGCCTCATACTGCCAACATGTGAGCGATGAGGAAATCCAGCGCAATCGTAAACGAGTCGTGAAGTTCGAGGATGAAACGCGTGAGCAGAAGAAACAGCAGCAGAAAAAGCCCAAGCCGCCACCACGAACGGTTGGACCGGCAGCTATACGAGACTCGAAACCAGTGGATTCGGTGGCAACAACAGGCTCTCCGCATACATACCACACTCTGCAGTCGCCAGGTCAAAGCCAGGCGCAGTTCGGTACGTCTTACCTGTTGTCTCAGAGCATGCTGGCAATACCGCAGAAGTTTGTCCAGACAGGCGGCGCCGTGGTCGGTCAAACAAGACCCTACGCCATGACGGAAATGCCGCAGCACTTCCCGCAGAGCAGGGCCGCAATGTACGAGAACTGCGAGTCAAACAACGCCTCCATGCCCAACCTCAGCAGCATCGTGCCGGACAACAAGCCCCGCAAGCTGGCTCGGCCGACACAGGTTACAGCGGCATTCGACTGCGACAACTACATCGTACCGACCGTGCCCGCACCGCCAGCACCATCACAGCCTCACGTTGCTGCTGCTGCTGGCGCTAGTGTGCGCGAGATCCGCAAACCGCTGGCGCCGCGCTTAGACGACCTGATGAGTATTGACTCGCAGTCACTGGCATCTCTAACTGGTTCCAATCACTCCGATGGCGGCACGTCACTGGTGGTGAACCTGCCCGGAGCTTACCCATCATCCACTTCAATACCAGCCTATAAGGCAAAGGTACGTAAGGCGAACATACCAAGAATATGGAATTGTCTTGCAATGTCTAGGCTTACATGTAGAAGAAGGCAAGCAGCAGCATTCTAGGCTTTAATACACTTAAAGATCCGGTTTGCATTCAAACCAGGAAATCCTAAGTAGTACAATGCAAAAACAGGCTGTATGTGGCAATGGTACGTCTTGAAAATCAGGCTTTTACCGCCAAGGTAAAAAAAGGCCTGCGTCTATACACGTATGTATGTGTGTGTATACGAGTTGGGCTTTTATACAAGACCGAATGATAACCTCTCTCTCGTCCAGAGAAACATGGCAGGGATATGGAGCATTAGGAGCACCGTCACGGCCCACTGCACATACTACATAGTACCGCCGGTAGTAGACTAGTGCCAAACATGGCCAAAACAATTGCAAGCAGCACCTACGAGCAGATGTTTGTGTTGCCAGTCAAGCTTTCTTTAGCTTAGCTTTCCTGATCATATTATACTCAACCACTTCTAGTGGCTAGCCCAATTTCTTCATTGTCGCATGCATCTGTGTGTGCCACATCCTTGGCAGGTTCTATTCAACTTCAACTCCGATGGTCAGGCAACGGGTGAACATGCTCAAGCAAAGGCAGGAGATGTTGTGGATGTGATAGGGCAGGATGGCGATGACTGGTTGTGGGTCCAGACACTGGGTGGCAAGCAGGGATTGATGCCATCCTGCTTCCTCAAGGCTATTTCCAGCATCGGTAAGTATTGCAAAGTTGTCAACTACAGCCACCCTAAGGAGATACCGTTCAAGCCTTTATAATGATGCAATGCATTGTTTGAACTCTCAGCCTGAGCTGGCTTTGCTCGCGGCTGCAATGCACGGGGTAGCGAACCCAGGACAAAAGCGGACCAGGCATCATGACTTTGCACATCTATCGTTATGCTGCTTCATTACGCAACCCGTTTTATTATTATCATTTATATTATGAATGCATTGTTTGCCACATTGTGCATTTGACTTGATTGAACATGCTGAACTGGACGTGGTGTTGACTTGATTGAGCCCTGATATGATATGTTGACTTTCAGTCAAGCCTTCTCTAATTGTCCTCGTGTCTTCTGTATGGCCTGCAGAAGCGGAGAATGTGCAGCATGCTGATGTCCAGGAATCTCACTCATCCCCCAATCCACCCACAGCAGCAGCAGCATCAGCAGCTCCTGGACTCGTCAAGGCACGCAAGATGACAGTAGGGACATCTGAGCCGACTATGTATGAGAATGAGCTGATAAGTCGCCTGAACAATGCCAGCAGGCCTCGCTCTATGCTCTCGAGTGTTTCCGAAGTGAACAAACATGAGGAGAAATCCTCATCGACCGGAGGCGCTGGCCAAATTCATCGTTCCCAGAGTACCAGAAAGTCGACCATTAGCGGTGCCAACCTTCCCAAACCGGAGGACTCAGAGCTGGGTCGGTGGTTGGAGAAGCACAGCTTCACGTCGGTGTCATCGAATGGCGATGCTCCACGTCCAGATCTGTGCACCCAGAACTCGGTGGCCTTCTCCATCATAGCATCAATACGCAGTAGCAGTGGCGAGTACACTAACCTCAAGCCAGAGCAGTCAGTGTCACCTCAAATACAGGCCGCCGCTGCTTCTGCCACTGCTGCTGCAGCAGGCACACTACCTAGGCAGCAGCACCATCACAGCTCCACCACCTCTAGCCGCAGCAGTTATGGAGAGCAAGACGGCATGCCAGCGAACGCTAGCTGCTCACCAGGTGCCAAGCAGCAGGTCGGACCGCCGACAGTCACCGATCTTGCAGCCAAGCTGGGAAACCTGGTAGTGGTTGCGCCGCAGCCACAGCAACCACAGCACGCACCTCAACCACGCGCAGCAGCACCGCCAAAACACCCTAAACCACCAGCGCCAGTGCAGCCTAGTAGTAACCGTCCGCCTATTGCCCCCAAGCCACAACCAGGCCACAGTTCTTCTGTAGAGCCCGTGCAGAATGCAGCACCGAAAGAAAAGCTTTACAACATGTCCAGCTATTCATCATTGCCGGAGAATTTCAGATGCCACTCTGCTGCCTCGATGCAGTCCTATCCCGATGCATCGGTGTATAGTTCAGCCGAAGACATTACAGCGGAGGTGTATGATTATGAAGACGTTGAAGACGACGAGATCATATCGCGCCTGGAGGTGATCTGTGACTTCACGGCAACTGGCCTGAATCAGATATCGGTGCAGGACGGTATGATAGTGATTGCCAACGTGACGAAGTCAACGCGTGGCTGGCTCTGGGTGTGCATAGAGGACACCGGCGACCAGGGCTTCATACCGCTTTCCTACACAGAGCCGTACGAAACCTGGGCTGGTTGAACAGGTGATGGATAAAGTCACATCATCGCTCGGGCCACCGACATGTCGTGTATATCAGTACAGAATTATATTTACAGCCAACCAGATCAACAACAAATTCAGGCTACAGACCCCATAATATTATGTTGACTATGGGTCCTTGTCAATTGTGACTGCAAAATTTGCAACACCGAGTTAATTTCTACACACATGGATGGTCCATTGGCCAAGGTTCGAAGGGCAATGGCTTCGCACGATTCCCAACTGGTCAAACGGTGATCTGAAATCTGCAACTCACGTTCATCCAACAAATCTCCATGCGGACCTTGCTCCGGTTGCCAGTGAGCGCTATAAAAAGAACAACGACGTTAATTCCACATGGCTGCTGCTGCTGCTGCTTGGTTCTTCAGGCCATGCAATGACCATGTCAGCTCAGATAGACAGAATCCAATGGCAATTTTATTTTCTTGTAGTCTTGCCGGAATCCCTTTCCTATCTTTTTCTAATAATGATAATGACAGGCTAGCCCAAAGCCCTGAGACTGGCTGAGTGCCAATTGACTACAAGTACACAGTTGTTAATCCATTGGGAACATCCAATAGAACGTACTCAGGATATTTTAAAAATTATTGATCTTGGTGTCTAAGGTTGGAACAGCTTGAGCCTATTTAGCCCACAATGAACATGTAAAGATGTACAGTGTACTTCAAATGCAATAGCTTCCAAGTCGGGCAGTTGTCCAGGTTTCTCCTGCTCCGTGCGAGCACAATCCTGCGACAAACTGGTTTGCAATTGGCTGGAGTGGGTGCTGTGCTAGGCCCACGGATTCCTGGATCATTTGATGCTAGATTTTTCTCACATGGGTGATCATTGAAGCGATGTTGCATAGTAAATTTCCTACCTACATCAGAACGGTACTCGACATGCTGACCAGCCTACTAAGCAGACATGGCAGCGAGTGTCTACGATTTCCAAGTTTCTTTTTGCAAGGCAATGATAACCATAATTTTCTTGATTTAGCAAAACAATTTGGCTAGTGTTTGATTTCTAGGCAAAACCTGTTTAGTCACTTCGCTTACGTGACTCTTACCAGCTGACCATCACGACAGGACTGAGGTGCTTGTACATGTATATGTGCTGCAAAGCGTCTTAGACCGGTATTGATTATTTTTCAGGTAGCAGTGGACTGTGTATCTGCCACACCCCTGGTCCTTGCATGGAGTCACTGGTGTACGCCGGGATTTAATAATAATTGTTTGGTATGGCAGGCTGAACTCCTGTCATCTCTCGTTGTAGGGCGGGATTTACCGGCCGCAAAATACTGCTCGCCACTCCCGTTTGACTCCACGATCACCCTGTGTTGTGTTTCTGCCCCAATGACAAGCAGCTGGTGGGACCAGGTATCGGGGGCTCTTGGGTACCCCTCTGCCGGGATTGAATGGGCTGGGCTGTATGGTGGTGTGGGGGGGGGGGGGGGGAGAGCGACTCCTTTAAAGGGTAAAAAGCACAACCCCATAACCCTTTGGAGGGTATGGTTCGATTTCAAACCATACACATGTACATGCAGTCATCGAGTCATAACTCAGTCGAAGCTGTGCTGGGCAGATTTTCAAGTACAGCTGTACCAGGAATATGAGCTCCACCCACCTCTACAGGTATAACCAGTGAACCAGTCAATAGAATGAACACCGCAGCAAATTTCGTAACAGTCAGGGATCGTGGTATATCAGAATGACAGGTGTTTCACTGCCCATCTGGTAATATGTGTGACAGTTCAGCTGATGGCCGGCCATGAGAGTCGCAAAGGAGAAACTTCAAACGATACAAGTAACAGTTCATCGGCTCAGATTACTTTACGAAACAGTGTGCTTCTCGTGTGCTCTGGATGGCAGTCGTGAGTCAGTCGCTGTCGAGTATCAAGTCAAAGTCGCAAAAGAAAAGCGCTAGCTGGAACGTTGCGAGCCACCTATGTCCAGATTGCTTACAAAGTAGATTTGATGGGCCTCCTGTGGTTGGATCATCACCCTTACTGCCCAGTGCTGGCTATACTTGGATGTGCACCATGATGTGTTGAATACAAATAAAATAGATAGAGAAGTACCCCCCCCCCTTGTTCTCCTGCAAATGCAGGACACACTATGGGTGCAGACAACAACAAAATTGCGGTCATGAGTCTAAATACTTACACGTCAGTCTACATACACACACACACACACACACACACACACACACACACACACACACACACCAGCCACTACCTAACTGGGCACACCGACTACTCTAAGGTCAAGAGGTGGAGCTGTGTTGCTCAACTTCCGAGTAGTGAACGGCATTGTGTCAGTCAAGAAAATAGAGCGTAGCATAAAGATATCATCAAGGCAAAAGTTGTGTCGATGAAGTTATGACACAGATCAGTTCGGTTTCAAACTAAATGTTGTGTTTGCTACTACAACGGTGGTTTAGAACACTTCACAAAGAAAAGGCAAATAGAGACGTACAAACGTTTGGTGATGGCCGGTGATGAGATACATGCGAGAATGACATGAATGTCAAGCAATGATTGGAGTGTGCAGTCATCAGCTAACAGCAACAGCTTTTCCAGACTGCACACATTGTTTGGACAAGCAACGTCCACTAAATTTCATGAAAACAGAGCATGCAGCAATATATCAGGGCACATTTTCCGTTCCGAAAATGCATAAAAGAAAGCCGCGAGAGAATATAATTCGTATATAAATACTAATAATGAAGAGATTTGTACAGTCTGCGATATCAATTTCAAGTCAGTTAGAGTTGTTAGTCAGTGTCTTCTGGAGGGTAACTAGTTCAGAGTAAGACAGACCTAGGAATATTCATGGAAATGGAGGGGTTAAAGTAGGGAAACACTAGAAGACAAACAACGGAATGACAAGGCACTTAAAATATTTCATCAAGTGTGAGGGAGAACGAGGTGGACTGGAAAACAATATCGGGGTATGTAGCACAGTCCTTGGTGCGTATGGCACAGGCAAGGGGGCTAGATACCTGGCGTGTCTATGGTTTTGTGAAGGGTGGCACGGGTAGATGTGATGCCTGCATGCGTCTACTGCTGCAACAGTGGACATGCACAGTTGCCAGGCACACACGTGATACAGAAAAGTGCCGCAAATATCTGCGCCCCTCCCCGTGCATCTAGGTGCTGGTCGACCAGTGCATGGATAACTGTCCAGCAGTCTTTATCCTTGCCTTTCAGTCACTCCGGCAGCACCGGCCGACGACAAAAAACATCTAACGTACTTAGCTACGGTCATACAAGGGATTCTCTACCATACCAAGCGTCGAGCATTCCTTGGGCAAGTGGCCACTAGCAGCACCCTTTGGGGGATCATCACACACCTGGTAGTTCTGCTCCACCTCGACAGTGCTAGACCTGGCAGAGAGTTGTGAAAATCGCCGCCTGGGAGTAAATGGTGGTAGTTCCAAGTCCTCGTAGGCAGCTTGTCTATTGCCATGGCTTCCATTGACAACAACGGTAGCAGTGGTTGGGCTGATTTTTGCAACGGGACGGTCCAGTGGAGGGGCCTGTGCTTGGTTGTCTGGGTTCAATACCCCCTTGGCGATGCCTTCATCAGTAGTTGACAGCCCGGAAGATGTTTTGGGCGATGACGGTTGGCTAGTGCCAGCGATTGGGGCAGAAAATCGACGCTGATTCTGCGATCCCGTGGAAGCGGACAACGACTTCCGACTTGGCTTTGGATTGCTTGCATTGGCGGATGTAGTAACACAAGCAATTGAAGAATAGAGATGTTCCTCCGTTAGATCCTCCTCAGGAGGTCGTACCGAGGAGAAGCCAAACGCTCGTGATAGAATGCGCCGCAGGTCTACAGCTGATGGTCCTGCTTCACTGGTAATGGACATCTTCGCTTTGCTCTGTAATTTCTTCGACGCCCGCCTATTGGCAGTCCCATGCGGATTGTCATCGACTGTGCACGACAACCGCTTTGCAGATAGTGCCGGTGATGGATGACAGTTCTCGGTTGTCGAAGAAGGTGACATACTAGCACCTGTCACAGCAAACACCGGGTTTTTGAAGCTCTTGGTTACATTCTCTGGAATAGAATTTGAGGGATCGTCTAACTGTGGTAAGGACCTGCCTGATGCAGTATGCCGAAGAGTAGGAGCGGGCATGAAAGCATGCCCTTCTTTGACTGCTGTTGCCGACCTCTGCCGGAGAGTGGAGCCAACCACTGGGAAAAACTCTTCTCCTTGGGCTGCCAGGGGAGACCCAGTGCTGCACGGCGACATGTTGATAGAGTTGGCACACGAGTCCGTTGCTGGATTCACATAGGAGAAGGCGAGATGGTTGGCGGAGCTCTCGTCGATGTGTAGTGGATTGTCCAAGGAGGACTTTCGCATCTGAGGAGATGTCGTAGTAATCATGACCTCATCGCTGGGATGCTTAAACGTAGTTACTAGAGGAGGATGATCAAAAATGCCAGGAACTGGCCCTGATGGCATCGTGAACTTTGAGATATCTGCCGTTTTATCAATCTCAGCTATGCTCATGCGTGAAGCAGCTGTTTTCGGTGAATCTCCAGCTATCGTCGACGCACGGACAAGCTTATGAGGCTCCGTCGCTCGTCTACCGTTATCCGGTCGCTTGGTAGACATCAAGCGTCTCCCTCGGCGAGGAGCTTTCGTTGTGTTCAGCTGATTTGCACCTGGGCCAGGCAAGCAGTCAGCAGGGTGGACGGCATCTGTAGAGACCTGTGTGGCAACAGTGTCCTGAGAGCGCAGTAGTGCATTGCCTATGTACTGAGGCAGTTGCGACTGTAAGTGAGATTGCAGGTACGATTGTGCCTGTGACTCAGTTGAAAAGTTTAGAATGGAAGGCGAGACAGAGAAGCCCTGATCTTCATTATCAGAGGTTGGTGTCTTTCGAGTGGGACCTAAAGTTTCATATCGTTCCATTGTTGGGTCGCCAATGCTGTTCTTCTTCATCTGCAGATGTAGGCTCTGCATTGATCCGGATTTACTAACTGATGTTTTACTGTCCCGACGGGCCTTGTCCTTCAGCAAAGATCCTTCCTCAAAGCTATACCTAGCGTTCGTATTTATGGCTGATACCACATCACTGAGGCTGTTGGGTCCCGGACTAGGCCATGCTTCATGCAGTGATGGTAGTAGAGACGAGTCTTTCTGGGTGCGACGTTTGTGTGATCGCTTGTATAGCAGTCGTCCCCACACATATGCCCAGGCTGATGTAAACATGCAGGATGCCAGCAGAATCAACGCACCGATGTATTGACGGACGCCTAGAAAAGAACGATGGCATTCAAAGAAAAAACAAGAGGGTGCGGAAACCCCAAGGTACTATGCTACTGCAATGCACATGTACACTCAAAGAGATAATAGAGCAGATATCACGGTGTGTGTGTGCGTGTGTGTGTGTGTGTGTGTGTGTGTGTGTGTGTGTGTGCGTGTGTGTGTGTGCATGTACATGTGCGTGTGTATGTGTGGTGCGTGTGCATGTGCGTGTGTGTATGCATGCGTGCAAAAGGCAAGGACACGTGCCATCCTTGCAGACCCCATAATAACACGTCATAACACATGGACATGCACGTCAGAATAGGAAACCATACTAGACACTAGACATAGCAACTCGGGCATAGATTTCATCATTCACCAGCTTGCTGGGCTGAATAATGCTGTACTGCTTCATTTCGATATGCACACACCTCAGACCTCAGACCTGCCCATCGCGGAAGCGATGATAGCGAACAGCTATGTTAGACATAGCAACTTGTGCTGGGATTTTACCATTCAACAGCTTGCAGGGCTGAATAATTGACCGCCACTAGTTTTAGCCTGGTATCCACCACACAGCTGATTGAGGTGGCTTTTTTCTGGCCAGTGCACCCCTATTTTCATTTTTTCCATTTTTCCATTTATTACTTTTTTTACACACACATGCCACACCACATACTCTGGCATACACTGGCTGTTGGTAACCACCCAGGAGAATGAAAGAAGAGCCAGGAGAATGAGAAAGAGAAGAAAAACGTGTGCAACCATAATCGTCGGGAATTGAACCCGCAACCTCTCGATTGGAAATCGACTGCACATACCACTGCACCGTATGGAACTGTTAGCACGCACACACACACACACACACACACACACACACACACACACACACACACACACGCACACACGCACACACACACACACACACCTCAGACACACCTCAGACACACACACACACACACACACACGCACACACACACATACACATGCACACACACACATACACACACACCGACCACATGGGCCAGACTGGTAGCCTCGTAACCGTAGAATGGACAATCTCCCAACATGTGGCAGAGCCGATTGTGTAGCATACGTACCGGCACGCATGGCCAAAAAGCACACACCGAGTTTCACAGAGGCAAATATCGTGAAGTACTGCGAGAGTGCCCCACCTTGATTTTACAGCCAGGGAGAGGAAAATTGTATGCCAGAGTACAACGAAGTCTTTTGTACTAAGGTCACACTTTGCTGGTTTTTGTGTGGAGCTCGTGTCCGCTCGAAGGTAAATTGAGTACGAATAGACTGCACAACGTGTAACGTGTGTACATGGTTCGTGTCGTATGACCTTCAGACAGGACACCACCTCCACAATACACCCACGAAAGGACGAATTGGTGGGGCGCTCTCGTGGTACTTTACGGCACTATGCCAAGATCCAGTGCATTTCTAAAGCAAAATCCTATTAGATGCCAACAGACAGATAGTTGGCATCCGTTTCCCTAAGGATGCTTTGTTGTTGTGTTATTACACCAAGTGTCTAATCGGTCGTTGTGATGCCACTCCGTACAAAACGCATCAAAGGAAGGTGTTATTGTCTCTGCACAAGCACGCACACACGTGCACAAAAATACGTTCTCCAAACACTTAAACACTTACAGATAACATCCCTGGCGAGCAGCAAGTCTCGTTCAACACATGCCGCATACTGGTAGGGAGAAACATCTGAAACATCTGGAAATAGAATGATGTGCCGAGAATGACACGCATTTAGCAAGGCACCCAGCATTTCGACAAGTAGGAGTTGCATGGTCGTAGCCTAAACCTTTGCGACTGATACTGAAAATAAAACCCTACCCAAACCCCGATTTTGGAACATATCGAAAATGTTACACTACCAAGATTCTCAGGTTTTTAGAGTAGTACAACTGCTTGTCTAAAATGGCCGTCCAAGTTGAATAGGTTTCATCGGTCCAACATCACACTGAGCACAAATCCAGAAAGGGTTTGCTCTGCACCAGGTGAAACCATTTCTAGAAGTGCTAGTTCTTGGTCAAATGCCTTGTTGACGATGCCACTAGCAGCAGTCTTCTAAGCCCATTGGCCAAGTCCCGTATTTGCCGGAGTATAACGCGCACCTGAGTATGATGCACACCGCCTTTTTTGAGCAACGTTTTGGCAATTCAACGTATACTCGGAGTATAATGTGCAGCCTACATTTCAGGGAATTATCGATTATAGAAGCTATAGGGACCATTGTCAGAATTTAAGCATTAAATTAGGCAGGCAGGCATAGTGGGATGGTTTAAGACCATGATTGAGAAACAGAGGGTACCAGGTTCAAGCCCTGCTTGGAAGCGGAAGGAATTTTTCCAGCCGTGCTGCGACCCACAGTTAATTGGGAACTCGTGGCCTGGCACGGGGGGTAACATGGATGCAGCTAATGGGATTTCGGTCTTTGACCACTTGGTGGTAGGTCTGATCTACTCACCTCGCACCGTTTAGGTGCTGCATTTGCGCCTTGATCCTAGAGAGTGGTGGCGTTCCCACGGCGGATGCGGAAAACTCGGCTTCCAGCCGAGTCTCACGCGAACCGTTAATTTATTTTTTATTTTTTAGGGATGTGTACATTTGTATAATGCACGTGTTACTGATGGGGTCTGGTACTCATCATGCATTAGCAATGTAGCTGGCGGTTGACACTAGAAATGCACACAATCATAATGGCTTACGCCGGGTCGGCGGTAGCAAATTTCGCAACAGTTTGATACATTGCACTACCTTTCGAAGTACATGCATTTTCATATTCGGAGCTTAGTGCGAACCTGCGATTTAGGGCCTAAAATAGCACATCTAAAGTGCGCACTATACTCCGGCAAATACGGTATATTCAAGGCGAAAATAATACCTTTGCACCAAAGCGAGCAGACTGACATTCCGATAGCGGACACGCGGCACCATTGCAACTCAGGAACGGTATCAGGAGGTGAAGAGAAATGTCTATTCTTCGTACTACACGCAATGTGTACATATGCGCTGCATTAGTGGTGACCTCTCCAGGACATTTTAGTGAAGGAACTTGTGAGCCACTAAAGTACAAGCTCAACTCAGTGCAGAAAAGAATCCTTTCATCGGCTTTCGAGTTGTCAACTTCTGGCATGGGGTGATGTTATCGATGCATGAGACAAAACTTGTCATTATTTAATAATTGCAACACAAGCAAAACATCGTGTTATCACACAAACTGTAGAAGAACATGAGTGACAGCCTACCTTGACTGGCAGCAACTTGCAGGCTGGAGATGAAAGCTAATCCTACTATCAAACCTGAAAATAGTAGGAACGCCGACACACACACACACACACACAAATGATACACAAAACACGAAGTCTTACACCCCGCACATGCTTCTTCCATTTAAATAAAGATTCAGAAACGTTCGCTGATGACCATCGAAGGAAAACATTTCTGAATCTTCAAATTTTATTTCAATAGTTCAGTACGGTATTATGTTGGCACTATTTGCTTTATCCATGGCTTTGCTCGATACTAGTTCCCTTTTGCTCTATCGACAGTATCTTCAGCAAAGCATGACATGTTGCAAAGCACTCCAGCAGGCCTTCAGTCTGACCACCTGTCTTAATCTTCTTATACTCAGGCGTGTAGCTCGTGAATAGTCAGCGTAGTCCGGTCGCCACACCAGCAAATTGCCGCCATAGGTACTATTATAGTCCAAATAGGCTAAATGGCAACCATGAGGTTGCTAGCGGTACACGGTCATCACACCACAGATGTGCGAGTTACGTCCCTGTAAGGGCCGGGTTCCACTGCGGCTCCGCTGCTCGTCTTTCGCGACTTCAAACGTCATCATTACCATAGTGACAGCGGCTCGAGCTGGAGCAGCGAGGCCGCGGCTCACTGCTAGCTTTTGCTACGATTCTTGACCAAAAACTACGAGCCGCGGTCGCGGCTCGACCTGTTTCCCGTACTTTGCATTGTTTCGTACGCCAGAATTTTAAAATTCAAAATTTAATTCGTTGCGCAGGCCAGAACACGAGAATTTTTTTTGATTTCGCGCAGGCAGGTGAAACGTCATCAAAAAGTGTAGACCACAACCGCGGTACTGGGAATGGCGAGTGTCAATGGAACCGCGCTGCTCCGCTGATGCAGCCAAGTGCCGCGGAGCAGCGGAGCCGCAGTGGAACCCGGCCCTAAACCCAGTGGCAAAAGCAGGCCTCGCGAGTGAGTCTGGGAAGAGGAGTACTCTCAATCATGTGCCGAGTGGCCCAATAACCGTGTAAAGAGCATCTTCCTAACGCACACCCTGCTCAACTCACATTGGGAGATGCAAGGTAGGGTGAAGAAGCAGCCACTCATCACCATAGACGGCAGAATAGCCGCTACTGCTGCTGTCAAAGTGGCATTAGAGAAACACATTCACACAGACACACAGACAGACAGACACACACACACACACGTGCATAAACACACACACACACGATGTGTGCATACACATACACACACATTAGCAAATACACAAATACCAGTAAATACACACCCTACACAGACACCCAACCATGCCCATGGGCACAGGAATATATGTGCACACAGGCAGACACACAGACAGACACACAAACAAACACAAACTCAAACACATACACACACAGACATAGACACAGACACAAACACACAGACACACAGAGGCACATAGACAGATGCATGAACATGCAAAGATGGACAAACAGACACACACATATACACAGAGCCAAGACACAGCCAAGACACACACACACACACACGTGCGCGCGTATATTATATACATCGGAGAATGTGTTCTCGGATGTCTAGCCAGTGCCACTGGCTGAGAACAATACACCAGTAGTTGGCACGCTATCGGAGCTGAGCTCAAAGAAAAGCAGCGGATCCAGTGAAACCTGAGTTCAGTTCCAAAGTACAATGCAGATACCGTAACGTCGCGTATTAAAGTCGGGCTTATTCCTGTAGAAGCCGATGTCAGGGCTAGGCTTCTATTCACATGAGGCTTCTATTCACTTCAGGCTTCTATTCACACCAGGTACTTTCTATGTGTGTTAACATTAAAACCAGGCTTATGTGCAGACAGTGTATTTTGAAAATCAGGCTTGTGTTCAAAATAGGCTTCTATATGAGATAGGCTTTAATACAAGACACTACGGTACTCGTGTACTATCTTTTTGAGTTGTTCTAGAAAGCCTGGAGCAATCAGGACATTCCCAGACCGGACTAACTACAGTAAAAGCTCATTCACTGTACAACTTTTTGCGACGCGACTTGCAACACCTGCGACCGCGACACACGGTTCACGCTTTCAAATTCTGATTTGAGTTCGCCTCCGTCCTGCTTCAGAGTGTCAGTCCTAGTTCTGCCGATTCGCTGCCGTCTTGCCGTCCTTAGTATTCGCTTTCCTTGTTCTCTCTCAGCTCAGTCCCGTCAGACTACGTGTCTTCAGCGGCCAGAGATTATAGTTTGAGTAGTTGAGTATTATATTCTCACGATGGCTCATTTCTCGACCAGACAAAAGACGCCATCGGCCAGAGTGGCAGCTCAACCTTCGGATGCAGGACGTAATGTGCGTGTGCGGCGAAAGCCTGTTCGTCTTCAACCGCCCGAAACTAGCCGATTAGCCGGGCTCCTTAGCACAAGTCTACGATGCTGCAAGAGCATTACCTGTGCACAAATCGTGTGCTGACACGCGTATCACAAACTCTGTTCTCAGCAAATGTGCGGATCTTCTTTGTACGCCTCTGGCCATCCTGTTCAACTACAATCTGGAACAAGGTGTGTGTCCCAAGGCTTGGAAAATGGCAACAATCATCCCCATCTTCAAGAAGAGAGGCTGCCCAACTCAGCCAACGAATTATCGTCCAATATCCCTTCTCCCATGCATCGCAAAACTATTTGAAAAACTAGTCGCCAATCAGCTCCAGACATACCTCAGCGCAACAGAGAAAATATGCAGCGAACAATTCGCCTATGTGAAAGACAAATCCGCCACAGACCAGCTGGTTATTCTAACGCAATATATGGCATGCTACATTGACAAGAAGTCAAATTTCGATTTAGTCTCCCTCGACTTCTGCAAAGCCTTCGACAGAGTAAACCACTCCATTCTCCTTGATCAGATCGGTAGGTTTTCAGACCCGAAAGTCACTGCATGGATACGGAGCTACTTGCAGGACAGACAGATAGCGGTACAAGTTGGATCATGCACATCGTTACCGAAGATCACCAACTGTGGTGTGCCGCAGGGCTCACATTTATCACCTCTCTTGTTCTTAATCTACATTAATGACCTACCTACTACCATAATGCATTCCCATACCTTCCTGTTTGCGAATGATGTGACTTTACTCCACCCATACGACACACTCCGTCCAGCCCAGCACTGCAAGCCGATATACAAGCGTGCCAAACCTGGGCTCAAGCTAGAGGAGGCGAGTTTTCCCCATCGAAAACCCCTGTCATCAGCTATTCCTACAAGTCGGTATCGCCGTCCACAGCTGCAGCATACCAAATAGATGGGGCTCCCCTCAACGGTACCGATGTGCTGAAACATCTGGGAATTCGCTTCACCGCTAATCTGAACTTCCACCAGCATTACATAGATATGAGTGGAAAATTCAAACAGGGAATTACGTTGCTATGTTACATGGCCCAGTGCCTTACTCCCAAAGCCATGATGCTCCTTTACAAGAGCTACGTTAGACCCGTTATAGAGTGTGGTGTTGTAGTGTGGGCGTACCGGCTACCTGCGTCTGATTTGTGTGAGCAAGACAAACTCCAAGCAAGATTCATCAGGTCGTACTTGCGACGGCATAAGTTTCGATTTGCCTTCGATACGCCAAAGCAAGATCTGAACGCATTCGCCAAACTAGAATCACTGCAGTACCGTAGACAATTCATTAGCCTAGTTACATTGCACAAGTTTATTTTCAAATACCGGAACACCTTGGCTCAGTTCAGTTTTAATATTTCCCGTAGTGAGAGACGCCCCAACAAAATTATCCTCCCCAAAGCCTTGACAATATCCAAATCACTTTTTTTATTCAAAACCTCCTTTTTATGGAATTGTCTCCCACCCACATTGACTTCGGAATCTCCTGTCCATGTATTCAAGAAAGAGCTGCGCAAACATTCTTGTCAGTATTCAGGTCTACTCGCTGGCATGCCGTTACCCTGTTCATCGTAGTCCCCCCCCCCCCCTTTCCCAATCTGTACTCTCTTGTACCATCATCCTTCAATGCGACGGACCCCACGATAGGCCGTGAGCCTTTGGGTCATCCTAATAAAGTTATTATTATTATTAACCGTCATTCTGATCACTCCTTCTCTCACTTTGTGTTGCATGGGTTGTGTCACGGTTTCACGATAGGCCATTCCGCTGCTATATCTGGTGTTCATAGTTCTCCCAAATCACCTGTCTGCCATCCGTAATATCAAGAGTACATAACCCCCCAGAGTGTGCAACGCCTGATCCAGCTCTGCATAGGGTCTTGGTCGAGCGTAATCGGATCTTTGCGTCATAATACCGTAAATATCTGAGGGGAACCCGGGGAGTCACGGGTACTCTCGGATCAAAAACATTGGTGCCCTGCCTCGAGACCGGCCTTGCGCTGGTGTGGACTGTACGCATGACATCAGAAGATCCGATTCCGCTCGACCAAGACCCTATGCAGAGCTGGATCGGAGTTGCACACTCTGGGGGGTTATGTACTCTTGGTAATATGCAGTATGTTTCTTCCTATTTGACCGAATGTTGTGAAGCTGGGCAAACAGTAGGTCCATTTCCGGAGCCACCCTTTCTGTGCATGCAGACATCTGGTCTGGCTGTTGTGCCGAAGTCCAATGGAAAACTTTGTGTGATACATGACCTGTCGTCTCCCGATGGCAGCAGTGTCAGTGATGCTATACCACGCGGGCAGTTCAGCCTGCATTACGACTCCGTGGACACCGCAATTGCCGCCATTATGCGACCCGGCAAGGGCTCCCTCTTGACACAGGTAGATATCCGTAATGCATTTCGCCTGTGTCCCGTCGCCCCCTCGGACTGGCAT